CCCCCCCCCCCCCCCATCAGCAAACCCCTAAAAATTTTGAATGGAGGTGCAGGTACCACTGAATTGTATGTGTTGGTATATTCACATACTTTTGATTGATCAGAGTCATCTTTTGCAGACCCCTTTGACACTGTAATTTGAGGACCCAAGGGGTCCGCAGACCACAGGCTGAAAACCATAGCCTTTAAAAGACATACATGTTTGCTCTTACATGACAGCTTGAGGTCCAACTGCAAAACAAGTCAAATATCATAGGTATGTTTGTAATGTGCTAGGCCAGGAATTAAAGAATGAATGCATTCATTTGCTGAAGAATCACTAAAAAGCTTATTCCAGTATTTCCCCAATTGCCTGGGGAGGGGAGGGGAGGGGAGGGAAGGGGAAGAGGAACAGGACAGAACTGGTGAAAACTCTGCAGCAACTGTAAAAAAAAAAAAAAAAAAAAAAAAAAAAAAAAAGATGAAGGAGACCACTGTCCTAGTTTCTTGTATGAACTGAGCAACACAATGGAAAGGAGGAAGAGAATCCCAGGGGAGGACTGGGGACAGGGTGGCAAGAAGAAAAAGTCAGAGTCCTGGGCTAGAAGGAGCCTGGGGATTAAGAGCACAGGGTTGTCCAGTGTTAAAGTCCTAAGCACCCTATCCATGATCTGCTTTGCTTTCCTATATTCTCCCTTTCTCTCTATCCTTATTTCTCTTCCTCGATTTTCCTGGCTTTTGAAAAAGAACACGACAATGATGTTTTTGTGGGTTTTTTTCCTTAAAGAAAGCAGGCTGGTAGGTGTAAGTTGTGTACAGCTATATTTCCTGCTGGCATCACCACACTATGAGACCACTTGATTCTGAACTTTTAAAAAATGAAAGTATTTTGCTTTCATGCTTTTTAGCATAATATTCAGGTTTATTCAATATCTCAACCTTTTTAGTCTATGCCTATGTAGCAAGTTAAAAACAACAAACACACAAGCCACATTTTCTTATTAACAAAGCCAGTAAGTCAACCTTATACTAATTGTCTGCTACCACCACAATAGGTTTCAATTTTGTCAGTACTGTACAAGCAATTTAACACCCTCTTAGCAAACACTCTGGCATGTATACAAGTTGTATTAAAAAGTCAATTTGCTACAACTTGGATGAAACAAAAACTGAACTTTGAGCAACACCATGACAGAACCAAAAATACTTCTTGGTACATGTTCACTATATGGTACTGGGTAAGAAGGTTGCCAGTATCAAGTTCCACTTGTGGCGTAAGGGCTGCACATTAAAATGCATTACAAACATTAAGAGGTAAGGCTAAAACAGGTAAAAATAAACTGGTCTATCACAAGAGGAGAGAGATGGAACAAGCTATTCTTATTGTAAATCCATTACACACTTCCAAAGTTTTGGAAGCTGTAACAAGGTACAAAACTAGAAGTGGGGGAACACTGGGGAATATTATTTGCACATTTCAGTTCTCTCTGTGAAAATCTGAATTAAAATGTACAAAGATAAACACAAGACTCAGAGGTCCATTTCTTTATTAAAATACTTTATCCCAGTCTATCTGCAGAAAGTCAAATCACTTAAGAGCACATAAATTAGATGCAGTGAATAATCTAGTACATGCCAGAACACCCAAAGGGTACATCAGACAAGTATAACAAAACTACATATTGAAGAAATGAAGAGTCCTCCTAAACCAGAGACTTTTTTGTGGAATACAGTGCGTGTATTATTAAACCCTGAATAATGAGGACTGCTAAAAATCAGCCTAAGGGTGAAGCTATATTTTTCACTTTTAATTGCAAGAGCCATTTAGGTATCCTGCAAAAGACCAGCTATCTTATACAATTATCAGGCTCTGGAGGTCACCAATTAGAACCCTGCAAGGATTTGAATTAAAAAAGACTTTGTGATTAGGTGAAGTAATGATCCAAAAAGAGATTAGTTCTGTTCAGACTACACTCATTATAAAACCTATTTCCTTTGTGTGAAGATTCAGTCTCTCCCATTTATCCTGCTGGTGTTATCATACACCGAGACAGAAATATGACTGCACTAATATATTCTATAAGAATAATAAAGTAGCATTTAACTCTATATTTTATCAAGAGATATTGTTGGTAGACAGAACTGTGTTTTTCCCCCACTGACCACGTGCAATTATGTCACAAAACTTAAGCTAGACTAAAAACACTAAAATGAATTTGACACACAAACCTACAGAAAAGATTAATCGTGCATTTTTGGCCTTCAGATGCATCCAAATTAAACATATCTTTTTATACCCATGTACTATTTTGTGCTTATCAGGTTAGAGCTAGCATTTGAAAAAGTTGCACTTACATGCAGTAAGTTACCAGGCACTGTATTAAATCTAGACATTTAAAATTTGAGATTCAATTTAGGTTAAAAAAATCTTTAAAAAAAAATCTTATTATGAACTGTACTGATGAACAACATAGCTTGAATGAAATCCTGATCCCAGTGAAGTATTACTAGCAGCATAGGTTGGGAAGAAGTGACAGCAGCAGTAGCTGCCAGTATAAATATGGAGAAATCTTGTTAATTACTCGATGAAACAGTCACTATGGTCTTATTCATCAGTATAGTAAATCTCTGCTAGGGTCCTATTGATTTGTACACAAAACACTTTAGCTAACAAGTCACCAGTCAAACTGCAATTTATCATTTTCAAATGGTAATACATACTAAAAATCACAATGGAATTTGCTCCTGATAAATCATTGGCTTAAGTTACCAAACTATAGGACAGCTTGCAACTGCATTATGGATGCAAGTAAAGCTCTCATGTATGCTTACACTAAGTTGTGACAGCCAGCTGGCAGGCAAATCTTAGCTCAAGACTGAACTAACAGTCAAACAAGTAGTAGTGTCCACCGAAATACTATACTGAACAAGAAAGCAGAAAAGAAAAAATCTACAAGGTAAATCAAAGTTCAATATACACAAAGAATTTGGTGTATTATCATCATTCTTGAAGTCTAGCTACAAAACAAGGGAAAACCCATTAAAGTAACTAAACAAGCATTCCCCCTCCCCACCTCCACAAGTGGCGGGGGGGACACAGCAGTAAATTTTTTTTTTTTTTTTTAAATGACAAAAAAAAACTTACAGGTGAATAAATGCTCAAATTACAACCAACATGCCGAACTTTTCATGGGCCACCTGGAAGAATTCCTCATGAACTGCACCAAGCCATGATATACTTTAAATTTTTAGCTGATATAATCATTTTGACCAAAAACCTGCAATCTGATCAATTTCCATCACAAATTCAATCACCATCACCAGGGATCTACATTTTCCATTCACCATGGTAAAACCAAGATTTTCCCCTTTAAAAGAAGAAAAAAATTGAGAAAAAACAGGTTTCCCCTTGCAGGTTGGCAGCCTTCCAGCCTGCAAGGGGCTGAGGGGAGTGGGAGGAAGGCAGTCAGGCAGGGTACCATGTACATGTGCACAGGTACACATGCACATGGCAACCATTCAGCCTGGAGAGCAGCTCCCACAGGTAAGTCTGGCATGCAGGAGCGGGGGGAATTGAGGCCCCTCCCCCCCCCCAGTGAGTGAGGGAGTTGAGCAGGGCTGGGGCTGCTGGCCAGCCTACGCACTGTGGGGGTCTTGGGGCCAGATCATGCGGCTGCAGGGCCCAAGTGGGGAGTGGGATGGCCAGCCCACATCTGTCCCCACAGGCTCCACTCTGGCTGAGCCACCCATGGGGGAGGGGGGCTTCGGTGCTGCTGCAGGGCACAGGGGGCAGTGGCCCCAGGTCACTGGCCCCATAGCCCTGAAGGCTGGGGGGCCTCCAGAGCTGCAGGGAGATGTGGGAACAGACAATAGCATGGCCATGGCACCAGCATCAGGGCTGCTCAGTGCCCCAAGAGCAGTCTGGAAGGGGGGGGGGGGG